AATATCCATGAGCAAGTTTAATATTATTTAAAAACAGAATGGAGGAAGCACGAACCAAGTCTTCTCTCCAAGGAATCACTCGATCAACGAGCACAGGAAGCAAGCTCTAGCCTCAACCTGAAATGGTGGTGGGACGCCCCCGAAGGGGTCAGTACTCTATACGGCTATAAAGTACTGGTGTGGCAGGCATCTAATAGATATACAACAAGTATTTCAAACACAAGACCCTCAAGTAGGGTGATAGTACATTATGATTGTAACCCTAAGTTACCCCGTTTAAAAATATACTTACTTTATATAAAAGTCAAGTAGTCGGCCCGTGGGCCCGTTTTCATTTGGAAATCACCATTCCCAACCCCGTGGCTATAAGCCACGACAACTCCTAGAGTCCAACCCTAGTACATGACATTGTATTCTAGAGCTCGGCTCTACCACATCACCATACAATTCATATACCTCGGGTCAATTTCCTTACCTTGCGTTCTAGAGCTCGGCTCTACCACATCACCACGCAAGTCCTAGAGCTCGGCTCTAGCTATACAATACATAGACTACAAGTCTACACCTTACATGCATTCTAGAGCTCGGCTCTACCACATCACCATGCATTAAGGTCCAATTCTCAAACAACCCTATGCCTAGAATTTGACATATCAATAAACTACCATGGGTCATCCTTAAAGACTTCCCACAACTTAACCTTAGTTCCATACTAAGTTATTATATACACTTGAACTATATTCAAGTGCCATTCATACAATCCAATCCCTAGGATCAATTTAATCAACAAGTTCCAATAATCACTAGCTAGTATTTCAATACTATTAAGATTATTGTTATCATACCACTATCCTCTTTACTTGTAATTCTCTACATAATTATAGTTATGTAGCAGCAACTTAAGTATTCAATCTCAATACACAAATATTCATTTATGTATCCAAATAATTCATACATGAGCAAATACCTATTTCGCAAAAATAGTTCGTTTATACTCATTTAATCTCATATTATCCATACGTTCTCAAATCATTTCAAATTTCATTCTTTGGCAACTATATCAATATTTCATCAATATATAATCATCATAATCCATGAAAAATAATGATTTAAGCATTTAGGTAATCTCATGCTTAACCTACAAGTTGTAAGCAATTAGATGTCAATCCTCACCTCAATTGAGCTTTAAACTTTCCCTTCTTGGTCCAATGGTCAAAGCTTCGGTCAAGGTGGATTTGGAACTGATTCCTTGCTCAAATATGAGTGTTAAATAGCCTCTTCAAGGTGCTAGCTCAACCCCTAAACGTTGGTACGAAAACAGCCCCTAGAATGGGTGTTTTCCGGCTAACTCGTTTCCTAGTTTTCCAAGATTTGTTCTAGGTTAGTATCTAACCTTTACATCAATAAAATAACTTAATAGGGACATATTATACACTTGGATTAGTGTATAATAGTTCCACCAATCGTTCATATCATTTGGGAAATGAATGGAAAGGTTTTGGGATTAACAACTCACTTAGAAGAGTAAATCCGTTCCTGCGAGGTCGCGTTCTGTTCGGACGATTTGGAAGCCTTCCTCTACTCCTATTGATGCAAACCAGACCTTCACGGATTCCTCGTCTTGAGAGCTTTCTTTTGGTATCTCACACGCCTTAATTGGATTGGTAAAACTCGAGATATCGACCAAACAGTCTCATCACTCTCACAGCTCGAGTTCACAGACCTCTGCTCGTTCCAGATCGATTTTTGGATGATTGCTCTCTCCTCTCGAACTTTGGCCACTCAAATATGAAAATAGACTTCAAAAGCTATCCAAAGACACCTTATACACCCCATTTGGACGAGTACAACTCTCAAAATGAAGGGAGACAAAACAGCACACCTGTTTGTGCGAAAACAGTGGTGGTGGCCCCAAAATTTGATCCCAATTGTGTCATGGGCAATGCTTCTCCATGTGGTGCGGCCAAGGTGAGTCTCCTCACATATTTTCCTTGTCTTGCAGGTACTCAAGCCACATGGGATGCCCCCCAATTAATCCCAATCAATTTGGGGTCCAAAATATCTACCAATACTTCCAAAAATGGGAAGATGGGTCCTATTGTTTTATCTTTGTCAAAGATGTCTTTTTGTACTCATCCTAATTTATTTAGAACAAGTCAACTTCCTAAATCACATTATTGACCTCCAATATGTGTAGGCTCATCCCAATAATTTACTTGATGGATGTTATAGAAGGAAAATCCTACTCCCATTATTTAGCTCAAAAATGCCAAAGATGGGGTTATAGGCATTTGTATTCTTCTTTAATCCTTCGATCACTTATATAGATAATGTTGGGCTCTTTTATTTATTAATAAGTCCCGAGTAAGTATTTGCGAAACCCGACACTAATGTACGAGTTTGAACAGTACGATATTCAACCATGCACTACGTAGAACATTGATCGTTTTACAAAATGTTTGGGAATCAGAAATCCAATACATAAGCTTTGAATATTCAAATCAAATTTCCAAGGACATTCGGGTGCGGTGTCACAAGTTCACCCCCCCTTAACAGGAATTTCGTCCCCGAAATTCACAGCTCTACTCGAATAGGAAAGCATACTGCTTTCTCATCAAAGCCTCTGTTTCCCATGTCTCTTCTTCGACCCGATCGCTCTTCCACAGGACTTTAACCATTGGGACTTCCTTGCTCCTCAGTTTCTTCACCTTTCTATCGGTGACCTTGATAGGTTGAACAGCGTAGTTCAAATCCTCACGTACCTCTACAGGTGGCTTCTCCAATACGTGAGAGGGATCATGCACGTACTTCTTAAGCATGGATACATGAAACACATTATGTATCTTCTCTAATTCAGGAGTCAATTGTAGACGATATGCAACGGCCCCAATCCTCTCTATAATTCTGAATGGACCTATATATCGTGGGTTAAGTTTTCCTCGGGTTTGGAACCGAATGATCCCTTTCCAAGGAGAAACTTTCAAGAATACCTCGTCATCAACCTTAAACTCTAAGGTTCTTCGACGCTTATCTGCATAACTCTTTTGTCTATCCTGAGCCGCCTTGAGTCTCTCTCGAATTAACTTCACCTTTGATTTGGTGACCTCCACCAACTCAGTACCCTCGAGTTTGGCCATGCCAACCTCGTCCCAGCATAACGGTGTACGGCACCTCCTCCCATACAATGCCTCGTATGGAGGCATGCCGATGCTTGCCTGATAACTGTTGTTATAGGCAAACTCCACAAGTGCTAAGTGGTTGTCCCAACTCCCCTAGAACTCCAATGCACAAGCCCTCAGCATGTCTTCTAGGATCTGTATAACCCTTTCAGACTGCCCATCCGTCTGTGGATGGAAAGCAGTGCTGAACTTCAACTTCGTTCCCATAGACTCCTGGAATTTCGGCCAAAAACGTGATGTGAATCGTGGGTCTCTATCAGATACAATGGTCACCGGGACCCCATGCAGCCTCACGATCTCATCCGTATACAATTTGGCTAACCTCTCAAGTGGGTAGGTAGTGTGGATAGGCAAGAAGTGTGCACTCTTTGTGAGCCTATCCACAACGACCCAAACCGCGTCATAGTTCCTGATAGTCCGTGGTAAGCCTACCACGAAATCCATAGTCACGTGCTCCCACTTCCATTCAGGGATGGAGAGTGGTTGCAATAAGCCTGCTGGGTGCTGATGTTCTGCCTTAACTTGTTGACAAGTAAGGCACCGACTGATGTACTCGGCTATTTCCCTCTTCATTCCAGACCACCAGTAACTTTCCTTCAAATCACGGTACATTTTCGTGCCCCCCGGGTGCATGGCATAAGCCGATGAATGAGCCTCCTCTAAGATGGACTTTCGGAGCTCATCATCTGACGGTACACACACTCGGTCACGAAATAACAAGAGACCATCATCTCTTTCCCTGAAATCCTCCACCGGCCCCGCTTGCATGCGTTCCCGGACCTTCATAAGTTCTTCGTCGGCTTCCTGACCCTTCTTGATCTCATCAAGTAAAGTGGGTCTCACCTCAAATCGTGCCAATAAGGCACCATCGCTGGTTACCTCCAGTTGGGCTCTTAATGCCCTCAAATTAGTTATCAATGCCCCAGACGAGCTCTTCCGGCTCAAAGCATCTGCCACCACGTTTGCCTTGCCTGGGTGATACTCTATCACTAGATGGTAGTCTTTTATCAGCTCCATCCACCGTCTCTGTCTCATGTTTAGCTCTTTCTGAGTAAACACGTACTTCAAGCTCTTGTGATCAGTGTATATGTGACATGTCTCCCCGTAGAGATAATGTCTCCATATCTTCAGTGCAAATACCACTGCCCCGAGCTCCAAATCATGAGTAGGATAATTCACCTCATGCTTCTTCAATTGTCGTGAAGCATAGGCGATTACCCTCCCATTCTGCATCAGTACACATCCGAGCCCTTGGATGCTCGCATCGCTATAGACATCGTACCCCACACCTTGTTTGGGTAATGCAAGTACCGGTGCCTCAGTCAATCTCTTCTTTAGTTCCATGAACCCTTTCTCACATTTGTCATCCCATACAAACTTAGCTCCTTTACGAGTGAGCTTCGTCAATGGCGATGCCAAAACAGAGAACTTCTCCACGAACTTTCTATAGTAGCCTGCCAATCCAAGGAAACTACAAATTTCCTTGACGTTCTTTGGCCTCTCCCATTCAGTAATGGCTTCTATCTTCTTGTTATCAACAGCAATCCCCGATCCCGAAACCACGTGCCCGAGGAAGCCAATCTCCTTTAGCCAAAATTCACATTTAGAAAATTTGGCATAAAGTTGCTTCTCCCGTAGTGTTTCAAGAACAAGTATCAAGTGCTCCTCGTGCTCTTCTTCACTCTTTGAGTAAATCAAGATGTCATCGATGAACACAATCACGAATCGATCCAAGTATTTATGGAATACTCGGTTCATCAAGTCCATGAAAGCCGCTGGGGCGTTTGTTAACCCAAACGACATAACAAGGAATTCAAAGTGCCCATACCTTGTGCGAAAAGCACTTTTTGGTATGTCATCTTCCTTAATCTTCAATTGATGGTAACCCGACCTCAAGTCAATCTTTGAAAACACGGTTGCCCCTCGTAGTTGATCAAACAAGTCATCAATCCTAGGCAAGGGATACCTATTCTTGATTGTGACCTTGTTCAGTTGACGATAGTCAATACACATTCGAAGTGTCCCATCTTTCTTTTTCACAAAAAGAACGGGTGCTCCCCACGGGGAGTGGCTTGGTCTAATGAAACCGTTATCCAAAAGCTCTTGCAATTGGGTTTTCAACTCGTTAAGTTCAGCGGGTGCCATACGGTATGGCGGTATGGAGATTGGTTTGGTACCAGGCTCAACCTCGATCACAAATTCAATTTCCCTATCAGGTGGAAGCCCCGGTAGGTCTTTAGGGAAGACATCCGGATACTTACAAACCACCCTCACGTCGTCGATGTTCGTTTCCTCCTTGGTTTTGTCAACCACGTATGCTAGATATGCGTGGCACCCCTTTCTTATCATGCTCCTCGCTCTCACGGCGGATATGATACAACTGTTTGATTTGCCTCGATCCCCCTCGAAGCGTAGGGTGTCCCCATCATTGCCTTCGAGTTCCAAAACCTTTGTGTAGCAATCTACCCTAGCATGATGCTTTTCTAGCCAATCCATCCCTAGGATTGCATCGAACTCCATCATACTCAGCGGTACGAAATCACACGTCAAGGTTTGGCGATCGATTTCCACCTCACAAGATGGATAGTAAGTAGCTCTTTCAATGTCATCCCCTAGTGGTGTTGATACCACTAGAGTTTGCGTCATTGGGATTGATTGTACCCCTAAGTCCTCGGCGAACGCCTCACTCACGAACGAACGTTGCGCCCCGGTATCGATAAGGATTCGTGCATCCTTCCCATTAATCTTTAATGTTCCTACATTTATACACCATGTAAGATACCTTTTCTAATGGTTTAGGACACTTTTTAGGAGGTTAATAGGTTCATATAAATGTTCGGAATCAAACAGAGGTCCAATCATAGAAGAACGGGATGAAAAACTCGTGTTTCGGGCGGCTGGGGTCCACGCACGGTCGTGCGTGCGTGAAGAAACATCGAATCCGACCACTGCCGGTTACGCACGATCGTGCGTACCCGGCCACGCACGGTCGTGCGTCCACGCACGGCGTGCGTACCGGCACGCACGGTCGTGCGTCCTGCGCGAAAATCACCCGGAGCCACTGCCCCCTACGCACGATCGTGCATGGGGTTGGACGCACGATCGTGCGTCCCTGTTTTTGGTCAGTTTTGGCCCGAATTTCGCCGTTTGACCCCGTAATGGCTCGCACTCAATCCCTATGACTTATGTCATCAATTTATGGATTAAATATGGGCAAAATACAATTGTGCAAGGGCAATACCTGCAACCGAGTCCGGGTTAGCTCGAGCATCCGCCTCCGTCATCGCATAAACTCTAGCTTGAGTTCTTCCTTGATTCACGGATGGCGCGTTGCTCGTACTCGCTCCCCCATGTCCCCGGCTCGCTTGAGATGCTCCGGTTTGATTCCGTGTACCCGTCGGGCCACTGCTCGGTCCCGATGTCCTTGTCCCACCCAATTGTGGGCAATGCGCCTTCAAATGCCCGGCATCCCCACATTGAAAACATCTAGGGGGGTCGCGACATTTACCGGAGTGGTTCCTCTTGCAATTGTTGCAACGAGTTACCACCGAGGTTTGTGACCTCGAGCCTTGCCCACTCGGGCCTTGATTCCCCCTAGACGGTGGCGGTGGTGCCCGGAAAGATCCTCCTCCATGGTTCCCCTTTTTGTTGGAACCTTGGGGGCCATGACTCTCCCATTTTCTCTTTTTCGCCTCCTCGGCGTCTCTCTTCTTCCTCTCCTCCCACTGTTTCTCCCCCTTCAACGCTTGGTCAACCACTTGGGCGAAGGTCATATTAGGCAATTGTGTTGCCCTATCACGTATCTCCAAGTCAAGAGCATCCCAAAAGTGGTTTACCACTTCATATGTTTTATTGGCATCCAGACTCCGTGTGAACGCCCCAAGCAACAGTCTTTCTTGCACCACTTGCAAGTTGTCCACCACAGTCCGGTCTTCGGGTCCTTCCACTTATCAAAATTGTTTTGCATAAAAGAAGAATTACTTTCCATCTTTAAAATGGTAGATGTATAAGTGTAGAAATGTAGGATAATAAGAGAAGATGAAGATGGAGAAGAGGTGTAGAAAAATGGTAGAAAATAGATGTATTTATAGATTTTTTTGAATCCCACCCCCACACCACCACCCCCGGGACCCCCTTGCCCCCCACCCTAAGCCCCAACGGCTATATTGCCGTTTGGGAGCTATGTTGTAATTTAAAATGTTTTTAATTTTTTTTTTGAAAATTATACATTTTGTAAAATAAGTTAATTAATTTAATGAATTAAGTAAGTAAAACTATTTTTACTTAGAAAAGTGGTTTGATTTATAATTTACAAATGTTACAAAATAGGTGTATAAGTATTTAAACAAATTACATATTGAAGTTGTAACTTAAAAGTTTGTAACCAATTAATTAATTTACATATTAATATTGCATATTTTTATTTAAAAACAGCCTTTAGATTTTACAAAAATAATTTGAAGTTGTAAGTTATAAGTTTGTAACCAATTGAGAAGTGCTACATATGAAAAAATGAATGCATATTTATTTGAAATATGAAGTACAAGTTTGCAAATTAATTTTATTGAATTGATTATTGAATAATTTTTTTTTTGAGAATTATTGAATTCATGTACACAATAATATAAAATAATTCAAGTATATTTATTTCAAATTAGAAGTACAATTGAAAATTAGGATGAATTTAAAAAATGTAATACATTTTGTAATAAAAAATCAATCGGAATCTCCGCCTTCGGTGGTTGTTTCTCCATAAAGTGGAGGGTGGGAGCGATGGTCATTTCTTGAGTTCTTCATTGGACCTTCAACCAATCGTGAAAGCAAACTAGCGTCTCAAGAGAGTTCGGGCTCAACCTCGTTCTATAATCTGTTAGGACGTTGCCGGCCACACTAAATTCTTGTTCCACAGCAACTGTTGATATCGGCATTGCTAGCACTTGCTTAGCCATCTTTAATAAAATCGGGAACGTTCTTTCATTTTCCTTCCACCACTTAAGAACGTCAAAGTCATCCCCAACTTCATAATCAACATTCAATGTTAGATACAAAGAAAGCTCGTTAACTGAGCTTTGTTCAGTAGCGGTAGTTGCTCTACTTTTTTTCAAAAGAGAACCAAATGCAGATTTTAAAAGTGATTTTCCTTTAGATGAAGAAGATGTTCGCGGCATGGGAGGGGTGCATTACCATACTGTGCATGAAATTCATTATACAATTGATGAAATAAATTACTAACCTCGTTGTATCCTTGTTTAGGGTCGATGGGATTATCATCGAACTCTTGAGTTTGAAAAAAAGAAGCATAATAGTAATCTATACAATTTGCCAACGAGGCAAGTTTATATAACGAGGATCAAGAACAAATGTAATACCATATATATGCGGAATATGTGAATAATATTTTAAAAACTTTAGTTTCATGAAATCACAAAAATAACTAACGTAAGCGGCATCGTAAGCGCCGGCGAGATTAACAGATTCAACACTCCCAACGGCTATTATAGCCTTTAAAAATTTAATATGTTTTTTTTAAATTACCGTTGAGGCCCGAACCGGGCCCGGCCCGGCTGGGCCGGTTCACTAAATAGCAGGCCCGGGCTCGGACCGCTATCTCACCGGGCCGGGTGGCCCGAACCGGGCACTAACCGGTTCACCAGGCCGGTCCGGGCCCGCACAGTAGCGGGCCGGTCCGGTTCCGGGCCGGTTGGCCCGGCCCGACTCCATCCCTAATATGACATACGGGAGTAGTCTCATTTGATTGTTTGAACATTCTACTGGTAGTGACAATCATTATATAGTTGCCTGTAATTGATAGGCACAACTTACAACAAATGTATCACTACCCTAAATAAACATGTTTAAACACTAATGGTTTTTTTTTTACCCCAGGAGGCAAACCACCAAAATCAGTGGGGCAAACGCCGGGGACGCCTGCCAGAGTTTTATTAGATAAAATAGAAGGTACAAAGGAGAGGGAGCCAAACCAAAACCTCTCGATCAGTACAAATAAGTGATTCGAAAAAATTACGAGAAATCAATCAGTAGCCAAAAGAAACAACAAGAATTATAAACGCAAGACAGGGAAACCAAAGAGATCAGCATAGTAACCGAACCGAAGCGGTTTGTAACGGTTCAGTTCCTGGTTCCTATAAAAATGTGTGTATGGAACCGTTAAGGAACTGTTATTAAAAAAATAAAAAAAATAATATTAGTAGTAGTAGTAACAATAATAATATTCATAATAATATAATAGCAATAATTACCACCACCACAACAGTAATAATAAAACAATATCAAATATTTAACTAACAATTCTGATTTAATTAACAAAAACGAAGTAATAAATATTGTACATGAGGTTGACATAATACATTAAACCCCTTTCTACAAATCAAGTTTTGTTCCATCACATAAATTTTATAAATATAAAATAACCCAAATAACTTGTAGTTGATTGCACATATTTTACTTTACTATTTTCATGATGCTTCTAATTATTAGATTTATTATGAATCAATAAAATGTAATAATGTTATTTTATATCTATACATGCGAACTCAATGTATTTTTTTATGTTTTGAAAGACTTGAAGTAGGCGTCCTATTCTTGCTACTATGATGACGAGTAACCTTCATCGCTCCCACAATACAACGATTTTTATGTTTTATTTATTACATGAAAATTTAAATCATCTTTTGTTCTATTAAGTGTTCACAGTTCATTAGTTAACTTTGAAGTGATTAGAGTTTCACATAATTTTTTAATACTCGTGCTTTGAATTTTCGACGCGTTTATGTTGTTTGAAGAAAGTAAATTATGTGTTAATACTTAAATGAGAAAAGTTATTCTAGGAACCGATAAAAGGAAGAACCGAACTGTTTACTACCGGTTCGGTTCCATAACGGTTCTTGATTTTTTATATAGGAACCGAACCGATTTCATTGGTTAAAACTTTTATAACGGTTCCACTCATTTTGAGTAAGAACCTAACCGATCCCAGCCCTAGTCCGAAACATAGTCCCTGATGCGTTGCTTTTTCCGTGAACGTAGCAAACTTTCCTGATTCACCCAGTACAATAGCAATAGCCCGAGAGGCATCACATTCAACTTCAACATTATCCGAGTAGCCCTCCTCCATCGCCAACTCAGAAGCGAAGATCAGGGATTGGAGCTCGGCCTCTTCACTGGATTCCGCGTTAATAACGAAGCTCGCCGCCCAAGTCATTCTACCAGAACGATCTCGGAGAATAGCTCCACCCGCTGCGTACCCAGGTCGGTAAGAGGCATCAACATTTAATTTAAAATTTTTCTTAGGTCTTTTCCACTTAACAACTTGAATACCTGAGCTGAACCTAAACTTGATGGGCTAACTTTTCAAAGAAAATAATCACAGAAGATGGTAAATTTATCTTTAACTTTTTACATGTAATTCTTCTCTTCATCAAAATCTTTACTTCATTTTGCATTATAAATAGAAGTGGAATTGCAAACTTCAGACCTTCAGTGCAGTACGCAGTGGTGGCGGTTGCAGTGCGGCGGCTGCGGTGATTGCATATTTGTATGTGGTGACAGTGGGACTGTGGGAGTGTTGGACCACAAAGAGGAATACGGATAGCTCCCAGATGCATGAAGAGAGAATGTGGATTTTTTTGTTCAA